GAAATGGTTTCGGCTGAGCCGCAAGCCACGAATGCACTGCTGTCTTCACTTCAATAGAGGTGAATCTTCGTCCTCGTAGGGTTGCTTTCTGATTTGCAAATGATTTGCCACATAATCCACTGTCACTCGTCTATTCGACAGAATCATTTCACATGTATGTTTAACCCCTTCGTGACAGGAGACTACACTGTATGTCCCGTCACAAAGTGCCTATATGACTGGCCAACCCCACAGAGCTCTGGTGAGACACCAAAGAGCCCTGGTGAGACACCAAAGAGCCCTGGTTAAACTTGTAGGGCCTCACCAGCACCAGGGCTATGTGGGGTCTGACCAACCTGGTAAGACACCACAGAGCCCTGGTTAAACCAAGCCTCTGTAGGGTCTCACCAGGGCTCCATGGGGTCTCACCAGCACCATGGCTCCGAGCCACGTACACTGTATGTGACTAGTTATTTGCCGCTCTGTAATGCCAGTAACCTCTGTATTGAGACATTCATTAATGAAATAGTTACGATTTTGTAAAAGCTTCATTAATGAAAGAATGAAGCCTTTACATACAAATACGGGAGCGCTAAATAGCGGTCTGGTATTTGATGGCTGAAGTGTTTTGAAGTGTTTTGACAGCTCCATAGACTGGCCCCATGTTTATGAAGCTGTGTGATACATTTCAGGCACAGGAATGTTACAATGTATCTCTGTGCCTGAAATGTATCACTTCTGATCGTCTGGGCAGGATCAAAGACCTTTAAGTGAGATCTGATTCTCACATGCTGTCAGGATCAGTCTCTAAGGCTGGGTTCACACCTAGGCGGATTGAATATGCGCGTTTATCGCGCGGTTCGCGTTGCACGTTTTTACCGCGATTCGCGGTAAAAAAACACGCGACAAACAGGCGTTTCCGGGGGCTACTTGGCTGTAGCCCAATGGAAACGCCAGACCAAAACGCCCCAAAGAAGTACATGTACTTCTTTGGGCGTAGAGCGGTTTCCCGCGCATTCGTACTCGCGGAAAAACGCCCAGATGGGAACCATGCACATTGAAAATAATGGCATTTTCCTGTGAGCGTTTTTCCGTGAGTACGAACGCGCGGAAAAACGCCCAGGTGGGAACCGGGTCTAAGGTTATTATTAGCTGTTCCCAAGTTTGGAGCAGCCTGATAATAACCAAAAATTAAAAAAGTTAATTTATCAAGCAGTCATAGTGACTGCTTGATAGAAACTGACAAAAAAAAATATTTTTTTTTTTACACAAAAATAAAGTGTAAAAAAAATTAGGAAAATAAAAATGATATATAAATATATTTTTTTATACTATAATTATTGTGACTTGTGAAAAAAGTGTTTTCTTTAAGTTTTTTCCTAATTTTTTATTCGAACTAAGTGAGGCGTTAGCTACACATGTTTGATATAATTATATAGCCCTATCTGTTCTCCAAAAAACAATATATAATATGTGTGGGTACATTTAGTAAGAAAGTATATTACTGCAAGAATCACACAGCAAGAATGCCAACAGTGTATCAGTCATTTCCGAACAGAAACTGAAAACTAGCTCAGTCATGAAGGGTTTAAAGGAGAACTATGAGGTGAGTGAAAATCACTCATCCTCATAGTTCGAGCCGACCTGTGACAATGAAACGTTGGCTCAATAGATCAGGAAGTGAGCAAACAAATACCGTCGCTCGCTCACTTCTCGATCATCTTCCTGCAGGGACTGTCAGTCATCGCTCCCCGCAAGGATTCCCCCTTCCCCAATCATCCAGCGCTGACTGGAGGAACGGACGGGGGAGGGGGCGGGGTACAGCAGGCTCTGCCTCTAGATAGGCAGAGCACGTTGTCATTCACGCAGCTGGGTGGATCTCAACAGCATTGTCTGATCTGTCCCAGCTGCGGTGGTCTCAGTATACCGCGAGCTGTAGCTTGCGATATACTGAGCTTTGGGTCACAGGAAGACATTAGCATATGTCCTCCGGTGATGTTTAAGAGAACTATGGGGGAAAACACTTACCCCATAGTTCTCTTTTAATGTTGCCATCAGCCGTGGACGTGGACAGGCGTCCGGCTCCTTCTTGATGGCTAACACTTGTGTGACCTTCCTTGAACTTCTCTATCCATTCATACACACTTCTTCACGACAAAACACTTTCTCCATACTGCGCACAAAGTCTTCCATAAATAACGGCACCAGGCACACCCTCAGGCCACAAAAAAATAAATCACTGCACGCTGCTCTTCTTTCATGTAAATCACAAGTGGGGCATCCATTTTTTCTCGCACCGCAGTTGCAAATGAACTAATGTAACATGTTCACACCTGCACAGCAGTGACTCGGCAGACAGACAGTGCGGCTAACAGAAGTTTTAATATAACCGGAGTGCAGATCATTTTTGACTTTCATATATTAGCATATAAATAGCATATTGTTACTATATTTATGTGTTTTGTATGTGTAGCTTTTGATTTTTTTGTTTCATTGGAATGCAGACTTCTGGTATTATAATGCCAAATGAAGAAATACAACAACTAATAGGCTTTCTGGACAAGGACAAAACAGGCACTGTTGATTTCAGGTAATTCATAAATGTTATATCACCGGTGAAAAATCACAAGCAGTCATTTTCCATATGGACTAAACAGAGGCCAAATAAAAAGAAAAGTGGTTATAGCCGAGTAGGATGTTGGCTTGAACTGTGGCTTGTTATTACTTGCACCACATAAGGTCCAGCAGCTCCAGGGAGCAATTAAATCACCTCTTGATGTCTCAATTCCACTTTTATATTTAAAAAAAACAACTTTCTCCTATTGTAAACCTGGCACTAAGCCAGACAATTCAAACTGAGCGTTAGACAGAAAACACTAGCTTACCTTAACACGTACCTTCTCCCTAAAATGATGCTTTATTCCTCTGCAATCCTCACACCCTCTACTACTTAAAAAGGAAATTTTTTTATTTTGTTTATTATTTCTTTTTATTCCGGCTCTGCCCAAGCATACCACAAACCCCAACTATTACCATCCTCTCATAGGCAAGAATGTCATGCCTTGCTCCCACAGCCTCCTAGGATTTCCCTGACATATTTCCGAGAAGGCTGCAGGGGTCTGGGCACAGAGCAGCTGATGGACAGAGCTGGCGAGAGCTAGTTATCGGAACCAAGAAGAAGCAGCCAGCTCCGATGACTAAGGAGCAGCAAGATGGTGGCACGGGACCCACTGTGTTACCTGAACTGTAGATCGTAGCGGGACAGTGCTTGATTTGCTGGGCAGGTGTTTAGGGGATTTGAGGACGATGCCACCCAAAGGGATTCATAAAAATGAGGGGAGATCAAAGTTCTTCTTTAAAGAAGAACTATGGCCTAACTCTTTTTGCCCATAGTTCTCCTCAGGGTCACAGGAGGACATATACTAATGTCCCCCGGTGACCCAAAACTCAGTATATGGCAGGCTATTGCCCGCTTTATGCTGAGAGCACAGAGCCGCACTGCAGCCAGGACGGATCCCGACATTACTGTCGAGATCCACCCCACTGGCTGATTGCCAATGGGCTCTGCCTCTCTAGAAGCAGAGCAAGCTGTGCCCGCCTCCTCCCTCATCTGTTCCTCCAGTCAGCGCTGGAGGATCGGAGAGGGGAGGGGGGAATCCCTGTAGGGAGTGGTCACTGACAGTCAACGCTCTCTGCAGGGTGAGGATCAGGAAGCCAGCGATCAGCGGTATCCGACTTCCTGATCAATAGAGCCGGCTGTGACAGATTGCGTGTCACAGGTCGGCTTGAATTATGGGGATGTGTTTTTCACTCACCCCATAATTCTCCTCTAAGGCCCTGTTTAAACATATGCACGCATTACAACACATCAAAAAGCATTTTACATAGTATCTCATTATTTTGAATGGGCCTGGTTCACATATGAGTTGTGTTGTGGCGCATTATGGAAGATAATTCAGGTACCTTTTTTATTTTTGCATTTCTTTGTAAATCGAATTGCCCATAAAAATCAATAGGAGTTCATGATACATGCATTTTAATGCTCTGCAAATGCATGGATACTGAGACCCACCCCTAGTAACAGGTTATGTGCTCCTGGCCTAGCTACATTGGGAAGCTGGCAGGTTCTTACACCTCACTGAGCTTATGATTCAAGAAAAAGCATGATAAAAATGTGGCCGGAGCTGGTTGTCTAAACTGGGAAGAGGCAGCCAGCTCCCAATGACTAAGGAACAGCAATATGGTGGCATGGCACCCAGACCCTGTTACCTGAACAGTGGATTGCCGTGGGACAGTGCTGGATTTGCTGGGCAGGTGATTTGAGGATGGAGCCACCCAAAAGGGATTAAATAAAAATGGGGGGAGCTCCTATTTAAAAGGAAAACTATGGCCAGAAAAAGCATGATAAAAATGTGTATAAATACTTTAAAAATGCATGCATGAAAATGGAAGTGCATAGGTTTGAAGCCAGCCCCAGTGAAAACATTGTCAAAATGGTCACTAGATCAAGAGAGATAAATAGCTGGAGATATATGCACCTAACAACCTATACTGTAGACGTTCAATATAGCCCATTCCACCTCCTAAGCCTCATCTGTCATAAAAGGATAGACAACTGCCAGGACCAGTAGGGAGCTGGTCGGTGGTGGATGTTGGGAGGGAGTCTTCTTAAGGACAGCCTCAAAATGTTGTGGTAGTGGGACTGTGATGTGAAGGAGAGAATGTAGACTTAGGTGAAGGGGGCTCCTGATGTAAAGGGGAAACTCTGATGTGAAAGGGGAGCAGTCTGATATGAAAGAGGGGCTTCTGATGTGAAAGGTGTCTCTGATATAAAGGCAGGGGCAAATCTTGATTTGAAGGGGGCACTTCCATGTGAAGGGGGAAACCCATTTTTTGTGTGGGGTCCCCCTTAAAATCTATGACATTTTAGACTGGGGTGCTTGAGATTTTGCATACTTTTAAAGGGTGCCACGACTAAAAAAAAAAGGCTGGTCTAACACAATATAATAATTTCAAGTAATATACATTAACTATAACATTATAACATACACTGTAACTCAATTAATTCTCTTTTTGTTTCTTTTTGTTTGCAGTGCTTTTCAGAAAGCCCTGTCTTCTTGATCTGGAAATACAGGGGCAGTTCTTCCACTAAATATTCTTACTGACAACAGTCTCCTCTCGTTGCAATTTGTATTTTTTTAATGTATTATATTGTCACTGTGGATTTTACTACCTAATTTGCTTATGTAGCTGCAGTAAAACAGGTCACTGAATACAGGACACTGAATAATACATAGACCTAATGGTAATTATTTTGTTGGAAAATAGTTTCTTCCAGTCTTCTCTATAAAAAAAATGTAAATGAATGTGCGCAATTCAGAACTGGTACATATTTTAAAACAATGACACATCACATTTATAAAGGAATTTGCAGCATTCTGACTATAAATAAGAAAAGCATGACAAGCTGTAGGCCTGGAAAATAATACCACCATGACTAAGAAAGCATCCAAGCTATCTACATCAAACTCTGCTTTTAATGACCAGCAAGTCACAGTTGCTGACTATAAAGAATGCTTGCCAGGTCTTTGGAAAGTGTCGTCTATTGAGAAGAATATAGCTGGTGATTAGCTGTCTTTAACACTAGATGAAGGATTCATCTCTGGGCATAACGCACCATATGTTATAAAATATAAACCACATACAAACAAGCACAAACTGGCAATCCTTATATGTAAGCAAATGTAAGCAGTCACTCTGCCCAAAACAGATAGATTGATATTGCTGCTGGCTAAGTTTACCTTTCTGACTAAGTTTCATGTTGTATCCATACTTACACAAAGTCAGATCTGCCAGGCTGCTGCTCAGATCAAGAGCCTGGTAAGGAAATTTGGGGAGGACCCCATGCTTTTTTTTTTCTTCCTACGAGACCCAAAGGGTCTGGTATAAATTTGGGGTTGGGTTATCCCACGTTGTTTTGTTTTATTATTATATTTTTTTCACATTTAACAACACATCAGTTCATTCCCAATGACATTCGGACAAAATTCAGATGCATCAGAATGTTCGTTCATCAAAAATTCGGATATATTCGAATTTGTTTGTTTTTTTTTATTAGGAAATTCGGATGCATCTATGCAAGTCTAAGTAAAACCATACATTACTTTTAGGGAACCAGTGAAGTTTGAAAGAGGTAAAAGAAGCTTCAATTCCCTGGTGCCTACCTAAAAATTAAATCTAACACGGTTATTCACATAATTGTAAAGAGTTGGGAGAAGGCAGGAGAAGTGAACAATCAAAGACAACATACGTAGCTGAACTGGAAAAATTCCACAATTCAGATCACTTTCCAGTTCAGCGATGTTGCCCTAGATTATTCACTTCTCCTGACTTCTCCAAACTCTTCACATCTTCACCCACCCTGTATATTTTGGATGGAGCTGACCTTTAAAGGTAACCTGTGATTAAAACAAATGGCTGCTATTGTAACTTGTCCTTCTGAAATAATTTCTTGCCTGACTGACAAACTGAACCTTTGGCTTTAATTCATTGAGTCACTGGCCTGGAACAAGTATATACCCTGTTTCCCCGAAAATAAGACCTACCCTGATAATAAGACCTAGTACTATTTTTGGGAATTGCTAAAATATAAGAGCCACCCCGAAAATAAGACCTAGTTATGACCATTCCCAGGGCCGGTGGTGGCATAAGGGGAAACTTGGAAGAGAGGCAGGAGAGAATCAGCGGTGCCAACGATGCCAGCGCTAGAGGAAGTGAGGAGGCAGCTGAGGGAGCAGAGCCACATAAGCCAATGTTTCCTCTATAGCGCCGACTGTCACAGGCGTAGTGATACCAAATGCACTCCGCCTGTGAGGAATCCATAGCTTCACTCATTCTGGCCAGCGATTGGTTACCAAATTGCTCTTGGAAAGGTACGGCACCCCTGATTGCCCTGATCACCATATTCTTGACTTTGCCATTTTGGATTATTTAATTTGGATTTGCATTAATTTTGGATTGTACATTAAAAAAAAAATAAGACCTACCCCGAAAATAAGACCTAGTGTGTTTTTTTGAGGCCAAAAAAATACAAGACAGTGTCTTACTTTCGGGGAAACACGGTAGTAGGAATGTTTAGATGCCAAGTACCATACTTGGTACAAGTACAGATACTTTTCCTGCTCCAAGACCAACTAGGGAAAAATTCAGAAGTTAGGAGGCAGCTGTCATTTGTAAGGAGCACATGGAGCTCCTGGGATTTGTACATCCTGGTTTAATGTATGATTTTGTTTTTATAAATATAGACAAGTAATGCACCAATACCAGTTTTCCAAGTACAAGTACTGATACTTGTCCAAGTCCTCACAGATACAAGTACTGATACATTTGTTTATTGTCATGTGACAGTTTTTCTAAAACAATACAGACTAATGATTTCAGGACAGTGGTGTAGAGCCAGAGCCAGGTCCCAGCTGCAACCTCTGCAACCCTGATAGTTCTCATGAAAATGCCAAGTATCGGCACTGGTATCTGGACATCCCTAGTATATAGATAAGGCCCTCTAACATTTTTTAACTTTTCTGATCTGCATTCTTCTTTTCTGGATTAGTGACTTACTATTACTATTACTACTATTATTACTTAGGCTAATGGGTCGGTAAATGAGCCAGGCAACTAGCATTTTCAGAAGGACAGCAGTGGCAGCCCTCATATTCTGTCATAACTAGTTTTCTGTAAGGAAGAACTAAAAATTAACCCTTGCATTGCAAGAGTTAACTTTTAAAAAATCTGGAGTTCTTCTTAAAACAAACATGTGGCAGTGAAAAATGTCAAACATATGAAGACAAAGCTTGACATTCTCAGCACCTTTACTACTTGTATGATGAGGTAGCACGGTGTGCCTAGAGCTTTCATCTGCACTCTGCTTTCTGGTAGTGGGGAAGAGCAACACCCTTCCTCTGCTTCCCATAGACCAATGCAGTTCATTGACACATGGGAGATGTGCTTATGGCTTTGCAATTAGGGACTCTGAGAAGGTCACTTTTTTCATAGCTGCTTTGGAAGGGCTACAGTCAAGCTGGGTTTGCTTGACTGTGCCAGGGTGGCCAGCTTTATGTATGGAATAGTGACCAGGCAGCTCAGTTGGTGATAGCTGTGCATTTAACCACTGTGTATGCACTACTAAGTCAGTAATCTTTCTATAGAGCGCGTGTGCAGAGAGCACAACAAGCACAAGTGGTTTATAATACCAATGAAACGGTCAAAGTATTAGGTCATTCATACTAAAGCTATACAACATAAAGGAAGACAGGCATTGGCACAGACATGTATTGATACACTATTGATGGTCTATACAGGGGTCATTATGCCTTTGTTGTTCCTGTATTCTGATATTGATTCCAAGATGAATCCGAGGATCAGGCTTTCACAGAGCTTATTGAATGTCTGGAAGCACATTTGTCATTGTAAACAGCACAGATCAATGGGACATGTCTTTCATACTAAAATATACACATCAGTGATTGCTAAAAGCAGTGCTTGGTGAAACTTGTTCAGCATCTATGCAAGAGAGGGGAAGCCTGGAATATAAAACACTAGCCCATAAGACAGGCAATGTAAATATAAAACAGTTACTCACTTAAGAGCTTCCTTCAAGAATAGAAGAGTAGTTTTGACTGTACGATAATGGTGCAATCACATTGAATATTTATATTCATATCTTAATTAATTGTTATAAAAAAATGAAATATCTTTATATTAACTGAGGCCTTTTTTTCATTTTTTGCACCCATGCTATATTCCACATTTTAGACCTGAAAATTACTTAAAACCCCCAAACATTATATATTTTCTTAAAGCCACGACCATATAGAATAACATGGTGGCAGTTGCAAATTTTTATGTTGCACGATATTAGCGCAACTCCTTATCAAACCCCCAAATTTAGTGAAAAATGTACTTAAATGCCCCAAAACACAATAAAATACCAATTTTTAAAATAAAATATAAAAGATGATGTTAAAACGAGTAAATAGATACCCAACATGCCCAGGTTAAAAATTGTGTGCATCCGTGAAACAGCTACAAAATTCAGTACCCCAAAAAGTCCATAGACGACTCTTTAAAAGCAGCCACAGGTCATCAGTTTAGAGATACCCAAAAATACTGGCCCTAAAATTTTTGCTCACTCGGGCGTGCGCGGCGATACCCAACATGTGTAGCACGTTCGTTGTTTTCATACGTAGGCGCACCCAATGCGTGTTTACCCGCGCACCCGATGCGCATGCTCGCGGGGAGAGCACTTTAAAAAAAAAATTTAAATTATTTTTACATTTATTTTAAAAACATTTTTTTTTAAACTTTACTTTAATTGATATCACATAGGGGGGCTTGTGATTGTAGTTGGTGGTGACCGGTCCTCTTTAAAGGTGACGCTGGGGGTCCAAAAGACCCCCAGTGTCACCTTTACACTCTAAATAAGCTATTGAAGTGCAGATTGCACTTCAATAGCTTATAGCTGGGCTGCAGGAGCCCAGAACTGCCAGCCCAGGGAACGGAAGTGATGCAATCTGCATCGCTCCTGGTCCCATAGAACGTGGAGGGGATCGACGAACGGAGGTTCGTCCACCTCCTCCCCAGCTTCCCGCCGACACCAAACAAGCCAGTCCCGGGCCCGTAGGAGCCGTTGCAGCGAACTGGTGACAGCTGAGTCGCCAGAATCGCTTCTACTGTAAAGCCAACAGTCGACTTTACAAGTTTAAACAGAGTCCCGGTGGCAAAAGCCACCAGGAGTCTGTTTAAACAGCCCCGATGCCAGCGACGTACACTGTACGTCGTTGGTCTTGAAGACGTTAAAAGTTCTGATCACCATAGCTGGAAACTTTTCATATACTCTTAAAGCCTAATTCCAATTTTTTTTATTCTCCCCAGCACCTATTTGAAACGTCAGAGTCCTTCCTTTTCTTTCACTGTGGCGATGGGCAGTCCTTAACTACTGGACAGAACAGATCTCATGTAATGACATATGAGTGCCCCCCTCTGTCCAACAGTACTGTGATCCCAGACTGGCGTGATGACAGACCCCCACGAGGTGTGTCCGTGATGGCCTTGGGATCACAGTAAGTGGGTTGGACGAAGCTGGGCATCATTCATAATAGAAGAGGACCGGTTCTGAGTCCCAAGTCTGTAGGGTACAGCACTGG